CTGGTTCATTTGGTTATGGACTTGGTGGTATTGCCTCCGAGGATCCAGTAAAGACTTCAGAGGGTTATATTGGTAACTACAACGTTTCAAGCAGACAACCTAACAGAGGTAAAACTTTTGTCTGCATCTAGTGACCTTATCTCATGAAGAAATCCAGATTATAGTTTATTAATATGATTTTCGCTGGTATATAAATGAGAGATTAAGTCGTTGCATGTAAGAAAATGAATTGTTTAAAATGAAGTGAAACAGAAAATATGGTTATTTGCTCATCAGCAGTTATCATAGTTTTTAAAATTTTGATCAGTGAATTTGCGTTATAAATTGATAGACACGGGAGTAGCTTCAGATGTTTTATTTCAATCAATCAATCAATATGTGAACTATACAAGTTATGAATAGTGCAGCTTCTGTTGAGCTTCATGTAATATTTTCTTATTCTTCCAATATCTCTCCCTACATTTTAACGGACTCCATGCAACTTTACTTTTATTTCTGCAATTCTTTTTTCTCATATTTCAACAAGGTCTAAATAGTAGAAAGATGAGCATCTCTCCTGTGAGGGAAAAGATATCTAGTTATACCAATTACTCTAGGTTCCTCGTCTATATTTCCCCCATGGATTTCAATGCTTGACAAACCACAAGAACTTTATAACATTGGCCTTATGTTCTTTTATTTTTTGAAATGCATTATCATATAGGATTTTTCAAGAGATTACTACAATTTAAATAGAAATATAGCCTGCATGTTCCTGCACATATGCCCAGTGTTGCTGAATGTCTTCATCTTATAGCATGATGAAATTGGATATTTCCTGAAGAAAAAAAATCATCAGTGAGACCAACTACTCTCATGTCAGAAGCGTATGGTTGATTTTGTGTGAATGAAGTATTGAGATTTTAATATCAAGGTTGATCATTCAATTCACTTTGAAACGGATGTTCTTCTGAATTTATCATTTTACTTTACTCATTTTCTCTTCTTGTCTTCCTACTTTCTCCAGGAATTGCCGCCTAGAGGAGAAATGTTAATTCAGTTTATCATGGAAACAATAGATCAAGGGAAACTGATCAGGAAAAAGAGGATTTGTGAATTCTTACATCTCAGTCGCTTAAGATTTCAGCTTATATGGATTTCATCATATATATAGCTAACGGTGTTCTTTCATTTGAAGTATACATGTTTAAAGAGAAAGCAGTTTACAAGGGATTTTATGTAAGGTTTGGGACTTTTTGGGTTCTCTCATTATTATTTTTTTCAAGACTTAGGCTTCTCTTGGAATTTGATTGAGCTGAAAAATCAGATTGCCGGATATACTCATGAAGATTGGTTCCAATAGTGTAGTAATGCATCTCCAGCGAGGCGTATCAGCATTAGTATGTTTATTTAATGATAGAGTAATTGTTGTTAAGCTTTTTTTTTTTTTTTTTCCTTTTGCCACTGTAATGGCTGGCAATGTTGTTCTTGTTGCCACGTTCTTCTGAGATATGTTTTTTCCCCCTTATCAAATTGTAAGTGAGGTTCGGTTTGATTTATCAAGTGTGAAAACATGAGAGGGATTTGCAGTGTAGGATCCCCCATCAAATAATTAAGTTTGTAAACAGTCTTATAATTCTTGTTTAGCCAGATTATCATACAAGTTTTACAGTTTTTATAGTCATTGTCTTTCTCTGCTTCTAATTGATGAATCTTTAGTTTATCAATCTCTTTCTGTTCTGTTTGGCTTTTTCATCTGCTCTGCGCAAATAATACGCATGATTGGAAAATGGACAAAAGTTGATTGGTTCAAATTAGTGGCTATGTTTCAAAATTGAAATATTTTAGAGCCTATGCTTAGTCAGCATAGGCTTTTATTATGCTTTTTTAGCTTACTGTTTAATGCAAACACTAGGACTATTATTGGAATATGGACAAAGGTTGAATGGTCAGATAAGTAGGTTTGTTTCAAAATTGGAACTTTTAGAGCTTATGCTTTGGCATTAGAGACTTTTTATGTTTAGCTTTCTGTTTGTTCCTTTTATGGGTTACTATCCTTCTAATAAATAATAACAAATTAGATTCTGATCTTACACAGAATTCCTGTGTGGTTGTGCCTAGGTAAATCAGGATTTGTTTGGCTTTTAATAGAAATATACAATTGCATGTTTCACTGTCTCTACTCATAAGATCCTCTTCTCAATATATGTATATATTAATTGTTTTTTGAAGCCACACTGCGTTTAACTAATTCAAATCGAGTAGAGTCGGATCACATAAGTGCAAACATTTTTGCCTATAACGAATTATATAATCTAGATTCAAGCCAAGTTGGGGCCGGCCTAATTAAGAAAGAAGCTTTATTAATCTAATTTATAATTAGTCAAACTGAATAGCTCTTGGGGAAACCATAAAGCACAAGCATTAACAAGTCTTCATGTAAGTTCAAGTGGTCCCATTTCTAACTCATGAAGTCTCTCTCTCTTTGCGATGCTTAATTTGAAAATGTTTCTAATCTCAGTGCTTTTTTATAGTTTTTTGTTGTTGCTATTTTTGTTATATGAAGGGATTTATTAAAAGGTGCTTTTAAAAGTTGACTAACAAGTTTCAAAATTAAAAGTCATGTTTGGTAATCAATTCAGAGGAAGGAAAAGAAAAAGCGTCTTTTTGGGTGAGAAAAGGAGTCATAAACCTCTAATGCAAGGTAAAACGAATACAATTTGAACTTAAGCAGAGATCTTGTCCGTTGGCTTAGCAAAAAGTGAAGATTAGTTCATTAAATGAAAGCAATCTCAGCCGTTGGTCGGAATAACAAATCTTAGTCATTGGTTGCTTTAAATTAAAATTTCAGTCTTCTTCCTCACTCAAACAATCATACTTGCACAATAAGAAGTTTCTTCTTGTGCCGGAAAACAAAGCAAGACAAGAAAGATTCATGAGTCATTTGCACGTCTCTGGCATGGATTTTAAGATCTTACGCCCGTAAAATGTATAAGGACTTTTAAATTGTAAATCCCTGAAATTTTCATTTATAAAAGGCTCTTGGGTTCTTATTTGTCATTCTACCAAAAATGTATGAGAAAATATCATTCAAAGAGATGAGGCAATTTAATATCAAACAAGAATCAAAAGATTTTGAAATATTATTGTAAGATTAGGAATTGATTTAAAAATAATTTGAGCTGGGAAAAGATTATAACACCTTTACTTTTCTTTTTCTTTTTAAAAAAACTTGTCAATTAGCATTTATTTTTTATTAAATGAAAATAAATACTTGTTAATTAATAAATAGCTGCATGTTAAAATATGATCTACACTTCTCTCTTTTTACAATCAAGTTTTTTTAAAATTCTTAAATTTATCAATCAGCGAATGATTTCTTATTAAATGAAAATGTGTACTTATTAATTAACAAATGACTATTTATTGCAACATATTTCCTATGATACTATTTATAGAATACCTTTTAGAAATAATTTTTATTCCAAAATATTGAACACCTTGTAACAATTAAACTATTTTTTTTAATTTTACTATTTCTTGATCAGCGTAAAAATATTTAATATAGTTGTATTATTATTTAAAATCAAAAGTAAAAATGGAAGTGCATAACATATTTTTATGATATCAAGAAAAAATTATTTTTTCTTAATTTGAGTGAAATGATTAAAAGTGACTTATAATAAAAATTTGAGGGAGTAATACACACTTGCCCTTTCTCACAATCAAACACTTTCATATTCTTAAAATTGTCAATTAATGAATGTCTTGTAAACAAGTAATTTTTAATTAACGAATGACTACTTGTAAATTAAAAAAGAAAAGTAAAGGTATTATATTTTTTTTATATAAAATTATTTTCAAATCAGTTCTTTGATTCTGTAGTAATATTTCAAAATCTTTTCTTTCTTATTTGATACTCTCTCCATTCAAAAATGTAAGGTATTTTTAATTAAATTTCACCCATAATAAAGTAGTTATCTACTTTTCAACTAACCCTATCTTTTTATATTTACCCTTATTAAACACCCTACGATAAACATAAAATTATTATCAATAGGGGCACTTTTAAAAAAATATAATGATTACACTTTAAAAGATTAAAAATGCTTTACATTTTTAAACATTCAACTCCTTAAAAAATACCTTACATTTTTGAATGAAGGAGTGTTAAATACCCTCAACAATTCTTGAATGATATTTTCCCTAAACAATATACTCCCTCTGTTCAAAAATATAAGGCATTTTTTGATGAATTGGATATTAAAAAATATAAAGTATTTTTAATCTTTTAAAATGTAATCATTACCTTTTTTTTCAATAGTGCTCCTATTAATAATGATTTTATATTTATTGTAGGATATTTAATAAGAGTGAATATGAAAAAATAGGGTTAGTTTAAAAGTAGATAATTATTTTATTAGGAGATGAAATTTAATTAAAAATATTTAATATTTCTTAACAGACGAAATACTAGATATGACAAAAGATGCAAGGAAGTATTTTTCCCATTCCATTTCTGGTTTTTTTTCCTTTAACTTATCCGTTTAATTGTGATCTATCGATTTAATATTTTTCATTAATTAATTTGTTTGTTTTAAGTTGGGTGACATTTGTTTCTTTGGAATATTGTAGCGTTAAAATCGAACGCGCACACACAAGTTCGTTTAAGTTAGGCGACTTGAAATGATTAACATAAAAAATTGCGCTTTGAACAAAAGATTTTTACAATTTCATTTTATTATTATTTCCCATTAATAAATATAATTAACTTACATTATTATCACAACTAACTTATATCCTCCAGAGCTCTTGCTTTTGTGTTGTTATGTATTTTTGAATAAATTTCTTTTCTTTTTTTAAAAATTCCTCTTTCAATTTATAGTCGTATTTAAGCATTAAATAAAAATTACGGGGGGTGAATATGATATAACTTAAAAATATAAAAATTAAAATTAAAATAGTTAAACTTACTTTTAAAGATGAACTGTATCAATTAGTTTTTCTTTTGGTTTAATTGCTTGTAACAAAACCAAACAGTCAAATATCATTATAGCAATATAGTATGTGAGAGTATAAAAGAATACAATGAATGTACCAAGTCAAAAAAACCAAAATAGGAAAAATGAATTATAGAGAATACACAAAAGGCTTTTCGATCCAAGGAGGATCTGAAGCCAGAGCCAGTTGATAATTCAGAAACAGCAGATAAGAACTAGTAATGCTCTTGATAGATGGCTCCAAATTCTGCTCTCCATGCCTGGTCATCATCATTATCGGCATTGTTACGTGCAACAGCATCATAAGAGTCCTCTCTATATAGTGGTTTCAGCGCAGCCTCTGGTAACTTGCTATCTGCTAGGTACTGCTTCATGGTTATCATCTCCATCTTCTGTTTCCTTTGGAGCTTCTCTATTTTCTTTTTCAACTTCCCATTCTCTTCTTGTACATTCGCAAAATTCTCCTGTATAAACAACCATAAAAGAGATTCATGAGATAAATCAGTATGTTATATGATGGTGTAAATTTGAAACATCTCAAACACACCAAACAAAAGTTTAATTCAAAGTTTTCTTTACTCTGATTATTCTGACATACCATGTTCACAATAAATCTCCTTTCTGTCATACCATTATTCCGTTTCTTTACTCCCCAAATTAGAGTAATGAAATATTTTTTGAAGTTTAGTAGAAAATCTTTCATTATCCTCCCATCATTATTCAGAATTCTTATAAAGGTCTAAACCCAAATATTTCAATACAGACGGATTCCATTTCAATACACTGAAGCAATGACTAACAGCCCTAGAGGTTGGATTTTTACCTGGGTAATGGATACTGCATGCTCAGCTTCTCTAAGTCTAACAAGTAGTTCTCCAGCTGCATGCACAGCTTCTGCAGTGTCTCTAAGTTGAATCTTGAGGCTCCTGTTCTCTTTCTTCAAAAATTCTCTCTCCCTTTCTCTCTCTACTCTCATTGTAGAAAGCTCAGCTGCAAGAGATTTGGCAAATTTAGCATGGCCCTTTTTGCCTGCCTTTGCTGCCGCCGCCTTCATTTCTGCTATTCCTTCCATAATAGCATTGTGCTTTGCAGCCACCTCATCATATCTTTCTTGTAGTTCAGCATAATGTTCTATCATTCTCGAATGCCCATCAACAGCTCTTTTCAATGCATCATCCAACTCCTCCTTGCACTTCTTCTCTAACTTCAATTCCAACTCCACCCTCTCTAGATGTTGACGGCTTGACTCAAGGTCAACTCTCAGTTCATCAGTGAGACAAATCCATTCACTTTCCATTTCTGTCCATCTCTGTCTTTCTTTCTCTAGCTCTTCCCCGCCATTAGCCTGAAAAGATACACCGCTTTTTTGCAGTTGTATGGATCTTGATATCAATGAAGATCTCAATTTATCTGTAGATTTTTTGACTGGTGCATCACCACCACATAACTGCAACTTATTTCTTAGAATCTGAATTTCCTTCAAAAGTGCTTCCTTCTCACTATCGTCGAAACAGGTGTCTCTTACAGCAAACTCTTTTTCGACTTCTTTAATTTCAGATTTTCCCTCTGAAATATGCCGTAGAAGGTTTTCTGAAGTGGAAAAGCTCAGAAGCTGCAAATGACACCAAGAAACAAATGAGAAAAGATCATTCCTACCTTAGTAGCAGAGGCCTTTTGGATTTGATACATCAATGGTAAAATCATAAGATACGCTCAATTGAAGATACTTAACTTTTTTTTTTTTTAACAGAGTATGCGTAGGTATTTTATGAAAGGAGTATCAGAGTCAAAGAGCTGTTGAATAGACAAAATAAATTAAACAAACCTTGTCCTTATCTTCTAGCGAGTTGTACTCTTCATCTTTAATCTGCCTGTCAATTTCTTGATCATACACAATGAGGGAGTTTATTTCCTTTTCACCTCTGTATTTCTCCACCTAGAGAAGTCAAATTGTCAATTACATAGAAACCCATATCCCATGCATAATTCATGAGAGCCAAGATTCTTACCAACTGACTTAGCTGCTCAATTCTAGATCTTTGTTCCTGGCAAATGATTTCCAGCTCCTTCTCTCTCTTGATGGCTTTTGCCATTTCATTTTCCAAATGCTAGGGGGAAAAAGAAATAAACAATCAACAATAATTATTAAATATTATTAGTGGAAAATTAAGTCAAAATGCATAAATGCAGATTCTCTGGAACCTTATTTTTCAATAATATCAGAATTTTTTTCTTTTTTTTTTGTCAATCCAAGATTTCAAACTATCTTGTACCTCAGCGGAAGCCATATCAGATACTTTTATGCCACAAGATCCACAGAGGAAATTAGCAGGTACTACATCACTTGAAAGTTTTTCCTGTGTTGTTTGCATAGAAGAATCAACCTTGTCAATTTTTGAGCAGGGTTCCAAGGTTAAGTGCTCAAAGGAGAAGGAAGTTGAAGATTTGTTCAGTGCAGAGTTCTGCTGATGATAGTCAATTATCTGTAAGCCCCTCTGAAGACTGGCTGCCAAGGACTCAGTGGGGCCTGGCAAAACCTTACCCGACTGTCTTAACATGTCTTTACTATAATTCAAACTCCCTGCAGCATTATTCCAACCTCCCAGATAACTTGATGAAACAGCCATGCTTTTCCTTTGGGTATTTCTGATTTTTGGAGACTCAGATAACGGTGGTTCCAAGATCGGAGAGCTGACTGAAATGCTGTTTCTAGATGAAGATTTAATCGCCCTTAAAGTGCACAGATGGTCATCCGATGGTGTCATTTTGTCCTCATGACAGAGCTTATTCAAAGTTTTTTCTGAATCCTCTTCCTTCTTTTCAGTTTCGTCGCCCTCAATCATGTCAGCATCAAAACTTTCCTCAACAGAATTAACCTGGGAACCATCTTCATCGACAGATATATCTATTGAATTCTCAATTTCACATGGACCGTACAGGTCATTAATCTGCTTGCTTAATTGCTTTATGTCAGCCTCATCCACGTTTGCCTTTTCTTCAGTATCATTATCGATTTGATGTAGGAGTAAAGAGCGGTTTAAGCTGACTCTCAACTTATTCAAGCTTTCCCGAACATTACGTCCTTGGAAGCATCCATTTTTACTCCCCATTGAATTATGAACGTTAGCCTTTTCTCTAACAAGTTCTTCCTGCAATGCAAAAGAAAATGTTTATATATGTTGATGATCACATTAGCTTAATCCTTGAAAAACTATATCTAGTAAATTTCCTAGAGACGACATATACCTTTAGCTGCCGGATTTGATCACTCAAACCATTAGCTTCATCATCTTTTATTTCATTGATAACTGACTTGTTCCTAATGGATCTTATTCGTTGTCCAAATCTGAGAGTCCGCAGTGTTTCGCTATTACTCCTGTAATCAACAAATACAATCTTTATCTTTAGAATGGTAGGGCCCATATACTGTCATTGGTGCTTGGCTTTATATATGATGAAATCATGCTCTTCGATTTAAGTTAGTACTTGTTATCAGATGAGATGGAACAGATTACTGAGAGTTTGACATTTCCACCAAGTGATTCTTGTACTAAGCGTGTTAAATAAGAACTCCTGTCTGTAATTTCTGCAGCATTGGCAGACCGAGTTTCTTGAGTCAGGGCTTCCACTAGGTGCCTACACCAATGAAATAAATCAAACAATCATATTTGCTTTCCCTTACACATTGTCTATCTGCTTCTTCATTTTTATTTTTGTTCAATCCAGCAAGATTCTACTTATATGATGTGTCGAATCTTGATAAAATTAATCATCATATTCGCATATTCATCCAGGTACCATAAGAGCATCGATCTATCAGCCACCATAACCAAAAGCCACCAATGCAGATGCTCACAATATTCCTCAATTACCTTTATTAATCAAGTCTAAAGTGCGTGTAATGCATAAATACATACATTAATAACATACATATGTATATGTATATCAACTATATATAATTATTCACAAAACATATTAAAATTATAAATTTAATTCTATATACATGAAAATGATACGCATGGTACTTACCCAAAATCAGACAAGGACTTCTTCAAATTTTTGCTTTCCCTTACACATAGTCTATCTGCTTCATTTTCATTTTTGTTCAATCCAGCAAGATCAATAAGGGTAATTCTGCTTGTTGTTGAGCTTCTGAAACCCTTTGATGTTTGCTGAAGCATCAGTTGACAAATAACACATTTAGCAATAAAAATAATACTGAAAATGAACAATACAACCTCCTTTTTAATAATTTTAAAGGATACAACTATAGTTTCATACACAAGAGCAGTAATTGTACATTGTCAGAATATAATCATGTGCTGATACCTTACACCAAGACGCAACTGTAAAAGTAAAAATGATATGCGATCTGGAGCGCTCAGAATTTGAGCTTGCCTCTCCAACTTTTCTTCTTGAAAGGCCCTGCAACATGTGTAGAAAAGTTAACTTAGCGGATGAGATATAATAAAATACTGCAGTCATCAATAGAACAAATAACTGACAATTTTTTAACCATAGAGTAACATCATTTACTAAAATGCTTCAATACCTTAATAAGAATTTGTGCCACATCCTCATAGCTTGTGACATATTCCTCTGTCAAATTCTCAATATACAATGCATTATTGGAATCCTCCTTCAGCTGCATATTTTGGACCAAGACCTTATTAAATTTGAAAACAATGTAGCAGAAAATAATTACTTGATGAAAAAACTGTAGCATAAGGGATGGCACAAACCTACCTCAAGGTTTTGCTGGACTGGATCAAGTAAATTCCCAATTTTCTCATTGTATATCTGTTAAAAAACAGCAAAAATATGAATCAAAGATAGCTTATGGTCATTTGAAAAAATAAAAACATCCCCCTACCCTCCACAATTGGCCCAAAGCAAAGCAATTTTATGAAGATTTAAAAACAAGTTCACCTCAAGGAAAGAACAACGACATTGATAGTTGAACTGTTGCCCTTTGTGTTGCTCCTACAAATAGTAACACAAACTCATTGTCAAAACTCAACAAACCATGATAGAAAATTCTATGAGTGGCAGTTAAAACTCAAAGCATACTCTCTCAAGTTCAGAAAATAACATTCTGAAGATCCGAGGAGCCATTCCCTGTTTACTGTAACGCGAGGGTTCTTCAACCATGGCACTCAGGGGACCCCACATTGTATAAGTCTTCCCACTTCCAGGCTAGCGAAAAATAAAGAAAATATCTCAGATGATCATCGTAAGTGCTAATGTTCATTTCATGTGAATCTATTCAAATATACTACAAAAAGCGATAGATACCTGTCCATATGACAGGAGTGAAGTGTTGTAACCAGCTAAAGCATTTTTAACCAATGAGACACCAACTGACTGAAAAATATCTTCCTGTACAAACCAAAGCTCATCATTACTGTCCACCCTTAGATGTAGTAAGCAAGAATAGAAGACTATCGAAGCAAAGAAAGTGTGAACTGCTAGAAACAAATCCAGGTTGTAATAATCTTTTCTAGTTAATCTAACGGTAAATTTTGTCATTGCACTAATCTCTTCTAAATTGGAAGTATAAATCTTCACATTAAAAAGGGGGGGAATTCAGAGTGAAAGAAAATAAAATAGAAGTCAAACATGCCCCAATTAAGCGTTTTAAATAGGAGGTTGAGGGAGAAGAAAACAGATAGTTACGCCCATTCGATCCTGCAACAAAAAAACACAGAAAGGAAAGGCAACAAAGCTTCCGAAACTTCAACAGCAGATTACATCAACAAAGAAAAGCAAATTGCTTATATCTGGAAGAGAGAGAGGGACAGAGAGAAAATGAAGCAGAAGCACTCCTCTCTTTGCTGAAACCAATTTGTTATTGATTGGCCGAAAGAAAACAGCCACCATTTAGATGAAAACAAACTACTGAAGATTAATAGAAAGCATACCAAGATTCTAAAGTGGAATTTATTTACCTGGTAAGAGTTTGAATCAAAAACCAAATCAAATGTGAATTCACTGTCAGCAATGCATAACGTATCCGAAGAAACCTTCTTAATGGTCTCATCTCCTTCGCTTCCTTCGTTATTAGGAGGTCTGATTCGCACTACAACCTGTTACAAGACTTGATCAGTGTTCACCAAACCAAACGGATGATTTCTCAATTCAAACTCTCGTCGCAACCATCACAAATTACGCATTCACTGTACAACATCAAGCTGAAACAAAACATGTTCTCTGCTTGCCTTCACTGGGGAGTCCCGAGGAGCATCTGATTCAACAACTTCGAGCTGGGAAGATGGGGCTTTGGACTGTAATTGCTTGGTAGCTGGCGATGATCGGTCGTCGCAAACTTGAATGTTTGGATCAGATGGTGGAGTATTTTCAGCATTCGGTTTGGGAATTTTAGGGTTTGAGTTAGATTTCTGTTTGGAAGAGATTGATCTGGGAAGAAGGCTTCTGATTGAAGAGGACGAAATGCTACCGAAGAAACCAGTTTCGGCATTTTCTGAGATTCTGCTTTGCCTCATGGTTTTTGCCAAGCAAGCAAACGAGCCAACCAAAGAAGTGAAGAACTGTACAGGGGGAGAGAGGAGCACTGGATTCAAAAGTTGTAGATGGAAGAGGAAGACGAAAGGCCTTCCAGAGTAATAGAGAGGATGATTGAGAGAGATGACCGTTGCAAAGCTTCCTATTTAGTCACGGCATCGAGATGACTAAATTGCCCCTCCATAGTATCTAATTACCCACCTTATCCGAACCGAAATAAATGTAAAATCTAGGAGCCTGTCAGAACTCAAGAGAAGGGTCACGCTTTTTGAGAGATTAAATCTTTCTAGAAATATTGAATGTATTTGATGGCAAGGAAACAAAATATTGAATGAATTTAAATTTAAATATTAAATATCAATGAAGAAATAGCAATTCTCATGGAATTTAAAAAAAACAAAATTTTAAATCTTTACATTTTATTTAAGTTTTTCAAAGATTTAAAGTTATATTAAAAAAAATGAACTCTTTAAGATTTAAAGATTTTTAACTTTAAATTCCAAAAAAAAAATCAAATCCTCTACCGTAAGAAAAAAATAGCTTCGATGGTCTCCTTACTATCTTTTTAATATTTCAAATTAAAAATTATATTTTGTGGCAAAAAAATTAAAATATATATATTTTAGAATTTTATGAAGGTGCAACAAATCATTCTAAAGACAGCATATAACCTCTGTCTTAAATTTACTTATAAATTACAAATCTTTGTGTAAGTAAAATTTAACTAATTAGACATCATATATTCTTCAATACATATTTACAAATAAAACTTAATTAATTAATCATATATCTATATAAGTCAAGGGAAAATGGCAATAAATTTTTTTAAATTATGTAAATAATATTCTAATCTCTTGAAATGTTATAATTCTCTCAAAGTTTCTAACAATTTTTCTATAATTAAAGAATTAATATAAATGACAAAATTGTCTTAGTTTAAAATTTCAAATGTGAACTTATGAATTGTTGTTGCATTCTTGTGATTTTAAAAAGAAAAGTTGTAAATTTTAAACAAAACTTATGGATAGTGATTGATATTTGTAACACTTGAAGAATATTAAGGTTTTAAATGCAAACTTGTGAATTGTTAAATTCTTATGATTTTTTAAAAAATTATGAATCTTAAAACAAAACTTATGAATAGCAATCAATATTTGCAACATTTGAAGAATATTAAGATTTTAAATGTGAGCTTGTAAATTGTTATTAAATCCTTACAATTTAAAAAAATATAAATCTTAAAATAAAACTTATGAATAATAATTGATATTTGCAATACTTAAAAAATATTAAAATTTTAAATATAAACTTGTAAATTATTGTTAAATTTTTATAGTTTAAAAAAAATCGTGAATCTTGAAACAAAACTTATGAATATCAATTGTTATTTGAATTAAGAATAACCTGATCATTTATATTACTTTCTTAATGACATAAAAGTTTTAAAAATTTCATTGATATTATGACATTTTGATATACTAAATTATCATATGCATAATTCAAAAAATTCTATTATATTTTTTCATAAGTCAATGTCAATTTAGTTAAATATTTCAGTGATATTGAAGTAGATATGCACATCATAGGAATCGGCATATTGAAGACTTTTTTATTTCCAACAATATATTGAAGAATTCAAAATTTTTTTTAATAAAGTGATAGACAGCTCTGAGAAAAAATATAGGTAGTAATTTTCTAAGAAAAATATTCAAGATCCATACTGATGTAAAAATCAACCTGTGTAATAATCTATGAAAAAAAATATACGTAGTGTTTACTTTAAGCGTTTGAAAAAATTGAAAACTTTTTGTCGGCTAAAAAAAATTGTATATAATAAAATATTGAACACAAGAGAAAATAATATTCTCGCGCCAAACGGCAAGTATCCATCATCAACGGCCGAGCCGGGGATAAATTAGTCAATGCAATAAGCGGAATTCAAATGAAAGTAGCCGTTGTGGTCGGTAAAAGATGACTTTAACGCCGGATCACCGTCTTCATATATCATTAGGGACCACGATAATCAATATTTAAAGTTTAATCTCCACCCTTATAATCATTTGCATTTTTGTTGGCGAAAGTTTTTTATACTTTTTTTGGTAATCAATTTTTGTAAAAAAAAAAAAAGATATCCAAAGATCTGGTAAGAGATCAATAACAAGTTTTATTGGGAAAAAACAAATACATATTCCCAATTTAATAATAATTCATTTTATATTAATTATTATTTGTGAATGATTATCTTCCCTTTTCCTTCGATGCAATGCATTTTATAATTTTACATAAATAAAATTATAATTTAAACAAGTCCTATTGGTATTGGGCTCAGAGATAAATTTGCGGGCTTGAGCCCAATTCAAGCATTCAATGGTACTTGATAATTTCTTTCGGCTTTTTCAGTCAAATCAGCTGTCTTCGCTTTTCATGTAAAACAAATTACCGGCTGAGCCCATTACACATAGAAAGAAAAATACATGTATTGCATAGTTATAAAAAAAAATCATATTTAATGACTTATGAAAAAAATTATTCGCAAAGATCAATAATAAGTTATTATTAACAAAAATAAGCTTAGATCATTATTTTAATACCAATTTATTTTATATTAATTATTATTTGTGAATAACTTTTTTATTAGTCTTTAAATGTGCTTTTTTCTTTAAAAAATTAAAAAAACAGGAAAAAAAAAGAACTCATAAAAACGGTAGACCGGACGACGTGAGTTACATTTTCAATCCAACCCGCACTGCACCAGCTCGCCCATCTTTTTTTTTTTGAAAAAAAATCAATATTTTTTTATTGAATTATATAAGTTGTTTCTGTGTTTTTGATAAAATTACATGATCAAACTAACTTTAAAATTTTCAAATATAAGCTATTAAACCATGTCACGTAATTGTTATAATTAAATAAAAATGATGAATCATTGCAAAAATAAAATATGTGAAAATCAACGAGATTTGAAACCTATTTCTTTGGAGAATTTGGCAAGAATACACGTGATCAATTGTACTAAATTTTTAAATTTGACTTGTCAATATTGCAAAAAAAAAAAATTGTAAACTCCCCTCAATTCTATGGTTTAAGATTTAGCCAAGAATTTCTTACAAGTCATTTATTCACAAATCATATTTATAAATTTACTTATCCTGTATGTTTTTGCACAAATTCTCTTGGAGATATATTAGCAAATTAATTTCTTTGCCAAGGGACTCAAATGTAATTTACTTAACAATACTAACTCATTTATCAAATTTTGTATGCTATCTTCCATCGTGTGCGTAGGAAGCTTTTGTCAGATTCACGTAAGAATTAAAAAATACTATTTATTTAGTTTTTTTAATAAATATATCAATAATTTGTATTCTTTTTCACATTCACCCCCACAATTAGTGGTACTTGCTACTCCCATTGTCAACCTTGTTAATTTACCACTAAAAATGAAGCATTAAGCAGGGATATTTAAAAAAAATAAAAATAAAAGAAGACAGAATTAGATGGGTCCTACATCTAGGCCGAACGCAAGGTCCCCAAAAGGTCTCCGCATAAAGGACGAGAATGAGTAATAAATAATAAATAACTTTCTTGATTCTTAGATTATAATTATAAATTACAAATTTTAAATACTAACTAGATTTTAGACGTGTACGATACACAGAAACATTAATTCACTTTATTTAAGAGAAATGAAAGGAAGAAGGGTAAAATTTAAATATTATTAATTTTTTAAAAAAAGGACAAGTGAAAATAACTATATTTTTACTATTTTTTCAGCAACTGCTATTATATTTTTTATTGCTAGTACAATGTAAAAAAAAATTAATAGTTAGAATGTAGAAATATAAAAAATAATTTTTTCTCATATAAGTTATTTTAGAATATACAATATAATTGACATTTATTCTAGATAAGTTATTTTAAAATTAGTTAATTGGTATGAGCGATAAAAACTTTCAAGCAATTAGTTAGAGATAAATTTTTATTTTTATGTATGTAATAACTTTGTTGAAAAATGTCTACCATTTATTATATTTGGTTGGATCCCCTCCAAAATTTTAAAGGGGCCCTCCTCTCCTTTCCATTTAAATAGAGGCCAAGCCAAAATAAAAATAACAAGTTCTTCAACAGCATAGATAAAAAAAATGTTAATATAATATCATAAAATTTAAAAAGTATGATTTAAATGGTAAAAAGCTTAAACATAAAATATAATTTAAATTTATATTATTAAAAATTAATTTTCCAAGGAAATTTTAATTTATAAAGTTAAAAAAATAATTTTACCGGCTGGCACTGTAGAACTATATTCCGACACAAATTGCAAGGAAAAGAAGATTGATATTTTTTTTAAATGTTCCTAATCAGTTAATTAAAAAAATTGATCTTATTGAAAGAAAGAAAGAAAGAAATGTACAGGCTTCTAGTATAAAAAATGTTACTCTCTCCAAACCATAATGTAAAATATCTTTTAAAAGTTTTACTTGTTTCAAAAATACTTCTCTTAGTTCTATTTATAGGATAGAAAGAGAGATTTTTTATCTCATTTATAAATCATTTTACACAAATTTCTCCCTTTACCTTCCATTGAATATTGAAAAGAAAAATATATTATTAAAGTATATATATTTAATAGGGATAAAGTTGAGAATTAATAAATTTTAAGATAAAGTTAATGAGTTTTGAAATTTTTCTTGATTTCAACAAAATATGCTCAAAATGACTTATAAACAGGGTTAAAAAATTACAAGGCATTGGGTAACTTTTATAATTTTTTTCACCTATGTCCCTACTTTATTTATTACTCTTTTTGAAAAAAAAATGATCTATTAAAATTTTAATTATTGTTATCAAAGCACCTATATAAAGTATTTAATGATGGTAAAATTAAATATATACATATATATATATATATATACATACATATATATATATAGATATATCTATTTAAAAAATTAAGGTTTCAACTTATATTTTTTTATAATAAAGAATTAGGTACCAATACCTTGTATTTTGATTTGGAGGGAGTAAGTGTTAATTAAGGATATAGGTGGAAAGGATGAATAAAACTTCAAGACATGATTTAGTTGAAAATTAAT